AGTCTCCAAAACGTCTCCATCGAGTCTTGATGCAGTCTCACATATTTCTGGTATCTTGAGAAGTCTAAATTCGAATATTTCCCTCGAAAAAATGGAAAGCCTCACACCCCAAGACTTTTACGGTACTTCCCACGTACGAAAAAACGAATGGGCCGAGCTTGGCCCAAGCCCGGTGGCCGGCCTGCCGAACTTCGGGACCCGTTCCTCAACCGGGACCGCGCCGGACTTGGTTGAAACCTGGAATGATAACATCGGGCCAGGTCTGGGCGCCCATCTCGGCCCAGCGTTGATTGCCAGTCGTTGGCCAGGCTCAATTAAACATTACTTAATTACATGAATATGATAATATGGGTGATTGAAATACAAGTAATGTAATATTACTCCTCAGCATTCGTAATAGGTTCAACGAGGAAAAAAAATCAATACCGGCATGCGACTGGTGCCGCACTGGCTGCCAAACTGGTCATGGCAATTATCAATAATAACAAAAACAAAATAATTAACATTTTTTAGGATGATTTTTAGTATTGATTGTGCCCTACCTACCAAACCCTAACGCAATCATCGCCGAAAAACCGATTTTGTTAACTTAAAATATTACCCCCTAACGTGGGCTCGAACTCACGACCTCACGACTACTAATCCGACGCCTTAACCACTAGTCTACCGCGCAATTCGTAAAACCTCTACTTCAAATCTTCCATATTAATTCCATCTCGGTTTTTTTCGACTTGAATGTTTTATCATTCAATTGATAGAAATATTAAGTGACTCAACTACAGTTTAATCGGTAAATTAATTCAATAATGAATAATAATTATTATTATTATTAATTACAATAATAATTATAACAATTAGGATTACTGTTGAATGACCATTCTTCTTCTTTTCGTAATAATTAGCGAGTAACATGTGACTTCAACACCTACAATGTCACCATTTTTTTACGATTACACCCTTAATATTTTACCCTCAAGTTTCCACCCTTAGCATTCAACCCTCAGAATGTCAGTCTTATGATTTTTTCGCCCCTTTCCATTATTGCGATTTGACCCTTACAATTTTACTCTTCAGATTTTACCCTTATGATTCCACCCCTATGATTCCATTCTCATCATCTCACCCTTACGACTTAACCCTTACAGTTACACCAACGGCTGGAGCCCAATGACCAAGCTCCGGGCCACCGCTGGCTGAGGCTTGGTTATCGAGCTCCGGCATGCCAGTGTCCGGCCAAGGCTGGGCCAGATCTGTCAACCAAGGCTCGGTTACCTGCCCTTCTCCCGAGACTCAAGCCCTGGTCCCCAGGGATGGCCGAACCTCGGTCCAAGCCTGGGCGCCCAGGCTTGGCAAGCCCAGGCTTGTGCCAGGCTTGGCCCGTTTCTCCAACACTGGCATTTCGTACGTGGGTTCGTGCGCGGAATGTTCAAACTCTCTCGATAGAAGACTTTATATTACGGGGATAATAATTGATCACGAGATTTTTGTGAGTTCATCAGATTTTTTTTTCATACTCCCTAACCAACCCCCATTAATTTCCACCCCTAGGGGCGATGATCTAATTTTTTAGTAGCTCAAACAAAAAATGGCTTCATCAAATATGTTTGGCTTCGTGGGATCCGAAAATTCAATTTTTAAGGAGGAGAATTTTGTTTTTAATCTTATACTTTTTGTCACCTTTTCTGCCTATCCCCCAATCATTTTCATACTCTATACATTCCACGGAAACAGAAGCATTTTCATAATTTAATATTACTACTTAAATCCCATGTCGGAGGAATTTCTCTGTTATCCTGTCCGTTTTTCTCACCTCTACAGTCAGTAATAATTTTGTAGATTATTGATATAAATTCACTCAGGACAATATCGGAATGTATTGATTGCCTAATTATCCACGTAGCGTAAAGTCTTCTATCGAGAGACTGAACATTCCGCGCAGTAAATACCGTAAAAGTCTTGGGGCATGAGACTTTTCATTTTTCTGAGGGAAATATTCGATTTTAGACTTCTGAGGGACCAGAAACATATGTGAGACAGCATCAAGTCTCGATCAATACGTTTTGGAGACTTATTGGAGACCACGATTTTTACCCGGGTGGATACTTATTCATTCTATTTGATGAACCAGTTCAATAGCACACTTCTCAAACAAAAATAAATTTTGTGAACAGTAATCCCATTTTTTTTTAATTTTCAATCCCAGCGTTTTCACTTTTCCTAAAAAACAATTATTAATAAATGAAATTCTGAGAAGTTTTTGATTCCCTAATAATAATACTCCCGCTAGAGCTTCTGTTTTGATGATGCAGACGAAAGGATCCTTTGACGCTAAAGCACAACGTTCGAAGTAGTATAGACCGAAGCCGGGACAAAAGCCTCGCAAAAGTCTTTTACCGGTATCGTTCCAGTGAAACCTTATTGAATGAACGAAAGCAATTTGTTGAATATTGCTTTGACGTTCGCCATACCAAGCGACAAATACCGATGACTTACGAGTGAGTGTACAATTTAAAAGATTTACGTTGATGTTACCCTGTGAGCAAACACCGGGGCAACAATATATTTTCGCATAATATTTTTCTCAACAACACTAACGAGAATTTCATTTGATGTAAGTCGTCTCTTGGAACGTTCTGAAGTATTTCGATGAGTTGCAGGAGAAATATGTGGGCCCAGGGTCATCGGGGATGAGGTACGGTGCTTGGAGAGGGTGGAACGGTGTTGGAAAAACATACGAAAGAGTTTGGACGCCACCGACTCTTGTTATTCTCTGCAACGTGAGAACCATGGAAACTTTTATGAGTATCATTTCCCTCGGTTTTTGAATATTTAACAAATAGTGACTTGCTGAATCAACGAGTTACCTGTCGATCTCAAACTTCGGGATAATTTGTCTAGAATGATAAACTAAAATTTTCAACGTCAAATTATTAAAATTTAATATGAACTCATCTTTTGGGTTATGCAAATGAGCTAATTGTTCATCAAGTTCAGTTCTATATAACAAAGCTGCAATTGTTTCTCAACAAATTTATTTTTTATTCTTATGACCTACACGATTTAATTTTCACGTTCAATTATTTTTTATTCTTATTTTATTGTTGATTGATTTGGTTGTTAGACGAAAAAATTTGACCCTTGTGACCCTTATGAGATTTCTGAGTCATTATTAAATCTAATCAATTATGATTTGTAATTCTCATTCTTTTCATGATTCATTTAGAGGAGAAAATAGAATATTTTGACCTTTTTCAACCTTATTAGCCATTTTTCGACTTCATTGATTATGATTTTTTATCTTCATTGTTTCTTTGACTCTCATATACAAAGATGAAATTGTCTGTCATGAAATTTGTTTTGACCCTTATGGCTTTTACGATTTTATTCTCCCCTTTATTTACTTTTCACTCTGATTTTTTTGTCAACTGATTTGGATGTTAAAAGTAAAAAATTTAACCCTTGTGACTCTTATGAGAGTAAAGAGTTATTATTAAACCTTATTAATTGTGATTTTTGATCTTGATTATATCTTTGACTCTCATATAACAAAGCTGAAATTGTCTCATGAAATTTTTTGAATCAAATAAATCAAATAAATCGTTTATTGAATCAAATAAACTTTACTTAATAGAGATTTACAATTCTAATAGAGATATATTTGATTCAAATAAAGTTTATTTAATGCAAATAAATGAATTTTTTCCTTAGCCCCTCATAAGTGAGTCTAATAAATACATCAAAGTGAAAAATAACTTTTACGGCCCTTATACACGAGTGATTTTTCAATTTCATTAAATATGATTTCTGGCCTTTATTTTTTTCTTCATTACCTCAGATATAAAAGCAAGAAAAAGCAATATCAGAAAAAATATTGCACTCAATTCATGTTCTCGAGAAAACCGAAAACTCAGCAATTTCCATCGAAAAACCCACAGCAGACAAGTCGGATAATCCTGATGACGGTCCACTTGAAATGTTTCCCATTATCCCGGATTGTCCCCAAGAATTAATGGCCGATAAACATAGGATAATTACCACCTTAAGCACCAGGTGACTGTTAGGTACCAATTCCAAGAGGAAACGAGTCAAATGCCCAATGAAAAATAGAGAACCTGAAACAAAAATCTTGCTTACTTACGCGGATTCCATTCGTAATACGTCTCGATTTCCCGTTAATTCCTCATTCAAACCACAATTCATCTTACGAATTGAAATTGTTTACCATTCGAAGCATCTGGAATTTTTCACATTGAAATTTTTTTCCAGAAGTTGTTCATAAAGAATTTAACTAGACAATTCAAACAACGAAGAATCCTAAATACCGCATGAAAGCCCCCATGACTGTTGTCTATTTGCATACACTAATGGCTGGCAACTTCTATTATCGCTGTTACGAATGGACAAATGGATTTCTCAACCGCATTCGAGAGACAATTACCATCAACGTCAACTCCCAACGCATATCTATGCGCCTGAAGCCAAGGGTTATTCCACATATTGTTGTCAATTCCACCTTTAAATGCCTCCATATGTAGTACCAAATGAATATTAAAATGTGATATTGATTATTGTTGACAGTTATGTATCCGTTACATTCCGGAACAAAAAAATAAGTGACTACATTTGCGTCAGACGTTTGATTGACAGTAGATGCGACATCGCCCCCTGATAATTTTCCTTTCAATATACCCAATGTAGAAGGTCTTGCAAAATAAAAAAATGGACAAATATTATTCGTGGGAACAGACTTTTATTAAATCACCGATATCGAATCGGCAATATTCCTCATCACTCTTTCCTATGCATCTCGCAATTTAGTTCTTCAATCTGACTACGAGAACACAAGAACATTCATTTTTTATACATAAACATACGAAGGAATCTTTTATCTCATAAGGTCGTTTGTTATTACTAATTTATCGAGGATATCAATTTTGGATTTTTCATTTTTTCCCCCTTCGACTACACTGATAGAAAGGATTGGTTATTGTTAACGAATGGATTTGGTTGGAGACGATGATTTATTCGCTCTCACCAAATGTTCATTCGTTAATAGTTAACAAATGCACACTTGAAGAGCCTTTTTTGACTCAATTTTCATTTTTCAAGTGAACCATTCGTTAACAATTAACGAATATTCATTTGGCATTCATATTCAACTCTACCATTCGTTGATAGTTGAGGAATTTCGTTAGGAATAAATGAATCAGTCTATCAGTGCAGGATCCTCCCCTGAATTACACAATCAGGATTTTACAATCATGAATTACAATTATCATTACAATCTAATATATTACACTCAGTTTTATATTACACTTTGAACATTGGAGATCATCATAAAAAAAAAAGGATTTATGTACACCAAATTTCGTTATTCATTATCTACTTGTGATCTTATCAAGTACAAAAAAGTCTATACGCTAGAGCTGGAAGTAGCGTTCGCCTGAATGTAGTAATTCCTCACATGAAGATGATTGTGAAGATGAATGGCGGATAGCGGTTGGGCAGTTGCCCTGAGCGCCGTCGCCGAATTCCAATCACAGTGACTGCCAGGTGATACCATTTTGCCGTCAGGACTAGCACTGGGGGTGGCAACGGGTGATGACAAGGGATTCGCCTCAGCGACGACGTCTACGTCGACATCAACATCAACGTCCACATCCTCTTCCTCCTGATCAATCTGGTCGACCTCGTGTTCGGATTCACTGCAGCTGAATCTCCGGACTTTCGCTGTTCTGAGAAGCGAAGATTCGGAATTTTGGTCGTCAGGTGCTAGGAGACTGGCGACGTCGAATTGTCGTTTCCGCGACGGCTGGAAGCAACTCCTCATCGATGTTTGACTGTGGACTTGGCGATGTTGATTGTGAGTTGGCGATGATGATTGGGGGGAGAGCTGCTGAGGCGTCTGGTGATGCGCCTGCTGAGAGACTTGATGGTGATGATGATGGGGACTCCAGATTGCTGATAATGCTTGAGGATTGACGGGGCCGACTAAAGCCGCCGGCGGTGGAGTTGGAGGCAACGGCGGAGGACTAGGACTGTCTGGTTCCTCCTCAACCGCGAGACCCATGTGACGGCGGACTTTTCTCTGCGCCTTGCGCCGCCGAAAGTCTCCTCTCCTGAAGTCCTCCAGATTCGCGGGATGGATCGCCCAATAGTGACCTTTTCCATTGGCACTCCTCCCCGATTTCACGAAACAATCGTTCAACGATAAATTATGTCTTATGGAGTTTCTCCAGCCGGGACCACGGGACCTGAAGTACGGGTAGTGCTCCAGTATGTGTTGATAGATATCCGACAGCACTAGTTTCTTATCAGGTGACGACAGTATCGCCATTGCGATCAGCCCAATGTAGCTGTGCTGGGGTTTGGGCTCCTCCGGAATCCTCGGATGATGGGGATGAAGTAGAGCCATTGACAGGGCTAATCTGCTGGGGTAGCCCGCGGCTGCCGCTGCTGCTGCTGCCGCCGGATAAAGTGGCAGGGGTGCCGGGAATCCTGGAGACATTCCTAGATGTGATGCAGGTCCCCCTGAGTTCGGATGACCCACTCCAGGATGTTGGGGATGCAATTGCTGGACTAGTCGCAGGCGCTCGGCCATAGCGTAATGATAGAACTGGAGCCTGTAATGCTGCTCTAGACCTGGCAGAAATCCTGCCATTGGATTGCCAACCCCTAGACCAACCGCAAGGGGCTCCTTCGCCGGCGGTGGACTCTCGTTGCTGCACATACTCCTGAATCCTTCACTCTTATCAACCTCCACTTTTCAACCACAAAAATCCTCAAACTCTATCTGTCATTTGCTTCAACATAAAATCCACAATCACTTTGTCAATAATTCAAACAATCCTCACTGATCAATCAACAACTGCACATTACCAAATTATAAATAACAATTATCCTATAACAGCTCGTCACACACTGAGATTGATGGATGTTCGGCTCGAATCGCGACGTGCGAGCGACTGGTCATGATTTACGATCTTTTCGAAGCAGAGCCTTCCAATGTTGGTTCATCCCCACTTCCCCGACATTAGAATGACGAGAGGCTACGGTTGGTGGAGCTGTTACGCCCCACTCTGCTCATCTATACCCACCGGCAACAGCAGGCTGGATGAAGCTCTGGGTAGTTGTACACCAAGCTCTCGACCAATAGAAAATCTCACTGGGTGGGGCTACCACTGGGATTTCAGGATACGCCCGTACACCGTACGAGATATTGATCTTAGGCTCTGTTGCACGTTCAAACAGCCCAAGGTGATGTCTGTGGGGTCGTCATTTCGTGGTGGTGTGATCACAATGACGACACCCTCCCTATCTCTCTTATCACAACAGGAGGGGGTGGGGGGGTTTCGATTTCAACGGAGCGTGTTTTGGAACGGGTATCCAACGGAAAATAGATAGCTTTGGCAAGGAATCATATTAAATCAGTATGGCCTAAACTTTGTAATCGAGCAACTGAATCTATCAGTAATTATTTATGAGAAATCGAGATGTCAGTTTTTGGTCATTGTCATGCAAGACGGAAATGGGGCATCGCACGTTGATGTAGGCAGCCATGTTTTACCTCGTAACCTCGGAGAGGCAGAAAAACACGTGGGGGAGAAAAAAACAGTTTCTGGCTCCACCTCAAAGGGCAACTAACGTTGCTTTCCCACCTTTTGCTTTCATTCCTTCTCACAAAACCTCCGTTATGGCTTGATACGACAAAAGGTATGTCATGCTGTTTATTTTTAAAAGCATCAATTGGGTGCACACGTATGAGGCAATACGTGTGTGACTACTGAGGGGGGCAACCCGCCCCGCAACTGTTTGTAAGCATCCGCCATGCTGGTTTCATATCTGCTGGGCGCACACAGCTTTTCACATCAACACAATTTACATTGCCGTGTTGGTGGGATTGCTGGATGAGGTGGAGGTTGGCTGAAGGGCTGTCGCACACTCACTCCATCGAGTCCAGATACGTGCGAATATTTTTTTTTTCATTGGTGTGTGCGAATTGTGAGTATTTATACATGTATGTTTTTACCCTCAACAAATGGCATCAGTACATGGGTCGAGGGACAGCGGAAATACAATGACGCCACGTCCTATATACCACTCGGTTACAGTGACTCTGGAAATGCCTGATATGAAGCTGTTGTATTTCAGAATTTTGATTAATTAAAAATAATCTATTTTATTCGAAAGAACATTCTGCACTGACTGAGAGAAAAATATAATTCTTCTGACTGTATTCCATCGCCATCGAATTATAGTCAAATAGTCCTCAACAATTTTTCATGGGTTACGGTAACTTGGCCGGAGAAGTAATTACTACAATGGAATGTAGTCATTGCAACTATTTTATAGTTCTCCTCACGATAGATTTGTCGTGGTTACTTTTGAACTTGGGTTAGTTTAACTGCATTTTGATTTGCAAAAATTACGCTTGTGAAGTTTGTGATTTTTTCCAGTACTCGTACTAGAAATTTTCTAGAAAATTTCTCTCCGTGAAGGCCATCGGTTTTTCGATATTTTTAAACAAATTTCCTGCTCAAAATTATTAATATTTTTTTAACCCAAAGCACATTGATCTTCATCATCACCTTCTCGAGATTAATGTGCTTCGATTTTAGAAAATATCGATAACTTTCAGCAGAAAATTTGTTCAAAAATTTGAAAAATTAAGGGAATTCTGTTACCCCATAAGCCGGTCTCGTTTATTCCTTTGCCCGGCGCTTACGCAAACTGTTGAATAATTATTAATCCCGCAAATAAACAAAGATGATCAATGGCAAAGATGTATGATGAGGGTGGAAATGAATCATTTTGGATTTTTGATCAACTCCCTTTCACTTTTGAAAGTAATTCAATCAATAACCACAATTGCTCAAAAATATGCGAGAAGTTGTATAAATTAATGTATTAGAAAAACGTATAATTTTGTGAAATTTTTCGAAATAGTATATTTCAGGGCGAGTGTCATGGGGTTTTTTACTCCCGTGGATAGGAATTGGCGTCCGAGCCGAAGGCGAGGACTGGCCAACTACGCGATTAAAAAAACCCCATGGCACCATTCGTTAATTATTAACGAATATTCATTTGGTCATATTCAACCCTACCATTCGTTAATAGTTAACGAATCTCGTTTGGGAGAAATGAATCATTCTATCAGTGTACCGTTCAACCCTCACAATCCCACGTACGAAAAAACGAATGGGCCGAGCTTGGCCCAAGCCCGGTGGCCGGCCTGCCGAACTTCGGGACCCGTTCATCAACCGGGACCGCGCCGGACTTGGTTGAAACCTGGAATGATAACATCGGGCCAGGTCTGGGCGCCCATCTCGGCCCAGCGTTGATTGCCAGTTGTTGGCCAGGCTCAATTAAACATTACTTAATTACATGAATATGATAATATGGGTGATTGAAATACAAGTAATTTAATATTACTCCTCAGCATTCGTAATAGGTTCAACGAGGAAAAAAAGTCAATACCGGTATGCGACTGGTGCCGCACTGGCTGCCAAACTGTTCATGGCAATTATCAATAATATCAAAAACAAAATAATTAACATTTTTTAGGATGATTTTTAGTATTCATTGTGCCCTACCTACCAAACCCTAACGCAATCATCGCTGAAAAACCGATTTTGTTAACTTAAAATATTACCCCCTAACGTGGGCTCGAACCCACGACCTCACGACTACTAATCCGACGCCCTAACCACTAGTCTACCGCGCAATTCGTAAAACCTCTACTTCAAATCTTCCATATTAATTCCATCTCGGTTTTTTTCGACTTGAATGTTTTATTATTCAGTTGATAGAAATATTAAGTGATTCAACTACAGTTTAATCGGTAAATTAATTCAATAATGAATAATAATAATAATTATTATTAATTACAATAATAATTGTAACAATTAGGATTACTGTTGAATGACGATTCTTCTTCTTTTCGTAATAATTAGCGAGTAACATGTGACTTCAACACGTACAATGTCACCATTTTTTTACGATTACACCCTTAATATTTTACCCTCAAGTTTCCACCCTTACCATTCAACCCTCAGAATTTCAGTCTTATGATTTTTTCGCCCCTTTCCATTATTGCGATTTGACCCTTACAATTTTACTCTTCAGATTTTACCCTTATGATTCCACCCCTATGATTCCATTCTCATCATCTCACCCTTGCGATTTAATCCTTACAGTTACACCAACGGCTGGAGCCCAATGACCAAGCTCCGGGCCACCGCTGGCTAAGGCTTGGTTATCGAGCTCCGGCATACCAATGTCCGGCCAAGGCTGGGCCAGATCTGTCAACCAAGGCTCGGTTACCCGCCCTTCTCCCGAGACTCAAGCCCTGGTCCCCAGGGATGGCCGAACCTCGGTCCAAGCCTGGGCGCCCAGACTTGGCAAGCCCAGGCTTGTGCCAGGCTTGGCCCGTTTCTCCAAAACTGGCATTTTCTACCTGGGGTTCGGGGAAGGGTCAATACCAATCCCCGGCCTGGGAAAAGTGAAGGTCAGTACGGAAAAAGGATTATTAGCAAAAGATTTTTTGTGATACCTGCCTGAAAAGTTCAAGACAAAAATTCCCAATCTGAACTTTTTTAGTCTGCTCATTTGGCATGGATCTGCTCATAATATGGAACCTAAAACGTGCGCATGCAAAAAAAATTATAAATAATCGAATTTATGCCATTCGCTAAAAAAGAAAAGTGGAAGTAAATGATAAGTAAAAATCTATCGAGAAGGACCAATTAATCAATATGAAATAGAAATTTAACAGTTATGATCTTTTATGCAAACGATAATTTGTAAGTTGGAAGATTTTTTAAGTACCACATACGGAAAAATAAAAAAAAATTCTCTTCTCGTATACCCTTTCGGGTTTTTACGATTTGTTCCCTTCCCACCCCCCTCCACCAACTGTACCGCATTTGCCGAAGGGAGAGAAAACCTCATTCGAGGGAAAAACCTGCCCTGGTACAGTTGTCCTTTTGACGGGACTACCGCTCGGCAGTGAAACTGTGAAATTAGAGCGCTATAAATTTGGACCGCCGGTGCCGGGAAGCGAACCCGGATCATTGGCATACGAGTCTAGCACTCTAACCGCACGGCCACTACCGTCGGTCATACGGAAAAATATATAATCTGAAAATTATATATTTTATACATGGAATTGGCCCGATTTATACATAAAAGTTATATGAAATTGTAGGGAAATTAGATATTTGTAGTGATAACGAGAGGAAAAGAAGGAATCTACGACAGTAGAGGCTTCGTATGAGGTACTTAGAGACAGTAGGAGAGTGGAATTCCGGGAACCCCGATCCCATGTACGAAAAAACGAATGGGCCGAGCTTGGCCCGAACCCGGTGGCCGGCCTGCCGAACTTCGGGACCCGTTCCTCAACCGGGACCGCGCCGGACTTGGTTGAAACCTGGAATGATAACATCGGGCCAGGTCTGGGCGCCCATCTCGGCCCAGCGTTGATTGCCAGTCGTTGGCCAGGCTCAATTAAACATTACTTAATTACATGAATATGATAATATGGGTGATTGAAATACAAGTAATTTAATATTACTCCTCA